AACCCTTGGTTGTCCCTTGGAATGCCCCCCCAAAGCATCCCCAGATCTCTCTACCAGGCCTCACGCTCCTGCAATCAGCAGGTTACAGGGCAACACCCCAGCACCGGCCAGCGTCGTTCTGGCATCGAACAAACGCAAATCCATGAATGTACCAGTATGAAACAGCCTAAAGGGAGTTGCTAGAAGTCCCCAGAATCCTAAAGCATTCTCTTTTTTTGCTAAGAAACAAAAACATATGCACAATTCAGAAAACAAACTCAGATACCAATCGATTCCCTATACCCCACTCCGGCAAGACTTACTGCAGCAGAGCCACCATCTCTGCTGCTGATGTACCCTATTCCCATCCTAGTAGGACGCGTGATATCCCACCATCTCCTCTCCCACTCACCTCGATCTCTTTTTTGAGATACCGGGGCCATTACCCAGCCTCGGCTTGAGAAAATGTCTGAGAATACTTGCGATAATTCAGAAAACATGAGAATAGACCACAGCGGTCCTACAAATGCTCAAAACCTCGAAGTCCCTAACTAACCCTTCCAAGGCTCTCCAACATTGTCTTACTCCCTCCCGAGCTCTTCCAGGCGTCACACCCCCACATCCTGTTGGGTTACAGGGCAACACCACTCACCCCAGCTCCAGCCAGCGTCGTCCCAGCAGCAACCCTTGGTTGTCCCGTGGAATGCCCACCCCAAAGCATCCCCAGATCTCTCTACCAAGCCTCACGCTCCTGCATTAGCAGGTTACAGGGCAACACCCCAGCACCGGCCAGTGTCGTTCTGGCGCCGGACAACCACAAATCACTGAGTATAACAGCATCGAAAACCACCTGAGACGAGTTGCTAGGAGTCCCCAGAGTCCTAAAACATTCTTAAGACCGCCGAGCCTAAAAACAGGAAAAAAAAATAACGAAAACCACCACCGATCCAGCTCTTTCCCCGCACTACAGAGGAGAGACTTGCCCAGGCGTTCGGTCCTCGTAACAACACTCGCTAGATCTCATACCCCCCTTGCTAGAGTGACAGAGCAACACCAACTGCCCCAGTACTGACCGAACTGGTTCTGACGGACAGGAAGTGTCTTCCTCCCTCGACAACTTCCTTAGCTGCAGAGCCCCCGAAGGTTACAGGGTCACTGCCCCGGCCTCAACTACGTTGGACAAGATCGTTATGCCTTCCTCCCTCGACATAGCTCCAATAGTCTCAAGCTCCCCCTGGTTACAGAGCACTTGCTCCAGCACCGGCCATTGTCGCCCCATCCCGCCCTTCTAATTAGACCTACCATCCTAAACCACAAACCCTCCTTTGTCCGAGCATCACCACACTACCCAGCAATCCCTAGGACCAGCTTTCCCCTTCCTGCTTAAGAAAAAAACAAGATAGGACATGAGTAACACACAAAAAAGAAAAGCAAAAAGTCCGAACTGGAACCACCGACTTGCAACCTTCCTCGCAACTCTTGAAGAAAACCAAAGGCCTCGTAATCAGTCCTCGATCTTACACACAACTGGTCTCATACCCTCCTATGCCAGGGTTACAGGGTACCACTATGCCCCGGTGCCGACCAAGCTAGTATAGACGGTAAGGAATGCCTTCCTCCCTCGACATCTCCCATCAGTCGCACGCCCCTGATGGTGACAGGGATAAAACCCCGGCAACTGCCACGTCGAACGTGCTGGTTCTGCCTTCCACCCTCGACATAACTCCCCAAGCCTCACACTCCCCCAGGTTACAGAGCAACGCTCCACCACCGGCCTGCGTTGTCCCAGCCACGTGACCTACTAACGAAGGCCAAGCCCCCCCCCTGCTGCACCCCCCATTCATACTTCTCACCCGTCAGTGTGAACCATCTGCTTCCCTTAATCATGTGTGTTTTCCATAGACAACTAAGTACAAGTTAGATCTAAAAAATTCCTTGGTATAGAGAACTAAAGCCAGACAACAATGATAGTACTAAAAAGGATTAGGATTTTAAACCAATATCAAACAATCAGAAAATTGAATCGAAACACACCGAAACTGAAATTTCAAGATCAGAAAAACGAGACTGAGTTAAGATTTTGAAAATTTCTTGTAAGAAATCAGAGGTGCAAAAACCTCTGATTTTACGAATCTCAAACTAAAGAGGATTACCCAGGTAGTAATTCAGCAACAAAAATACGACAGTCGACATGACTAATGATGTGAAATTCAAAAGAAATAAGCAAACAAAATAAGTCAGAATTAGGCAAACAAACTAGGTCACGATTAATCTTGATGTAATCTTGGTTATCAAACCTCATAATCAAAATTCTTATACCTAAAAATTCAAGGATAAAAAAACTAATAGGTATTGAACCAGATGAAACTATCTTGGAATCACATCGTTAAGAATCTCATCATGGTCATCACAGAATCTCCACTACAAAACGTGAAGACGAATAACACAACTGTTAGGATGACAAGGCAACACTAACTGCCCCAATACCGACCGAGCTGATTCTGACGGTCAGGAAGTGTTATTCTCCCTCGACAACTTCCTTAGCTAAAAAGTCCGTAAGGTTACAGGGTCACTGCCCTGGTTCAGCTGCGTTGAGCAGGATGGCTATGCCTTCCACCCTCGGCATAGCTCCAATAGTCTCAAGCTCCACCCCTGGTTACAGAGCACCTACGCTCCAGCACCGACCATTGTCACCCCACCCTGCCCCTCTAATTAGACCTACCCCATGAACACTAATCCCTCTTCTGCCCACGTACCCACCACACTTGCCTAGCAACGTTAGAACCAATCTTCCCCTTTCTGCTATCCGGCGTCAACTACAATTATACTAGCAAGAATTTCAAAAAAACTAAGAAAAATCAAGCACACAAAATCCTAGAGAAGCACATGAACATTTAAGCGCACAAAATCCTGAAGAATCACATGAACATTTAAGCGCCCACTGCTCCCACAGGGAGAGGGGAAGAGGGGGAGAAGAACAACCCTCTCTCCCCATGGAAACTTCAGCGCCTATTGGAGTCTCGGATACATATAAAAGGGGTCACAAGAGCCAAAGTGATTACTCCCCTCCTCCAAAAAACGACTCCCTGTTTGTTTACTACCTTCGCGGGAAGGCGCCCCCTCACCTCCCCGCCCCAGTTCAGAACAACCCCAGGATACCCCTCCTGCTTCCTCAATCGCATACAATACCCCCTAGAGTATGCCCCCACAGAGCAAAAGATCCCCCTATCTACTTGCCCCACCCCCTTCAAGTGGAACAGTCCTCTCAACTCTCACCCTGCTTACGTCAGCACCCTTTGTCCTCTCTCCCCAACCGCCATAGTTGATCCGACCCGAAAATCAGCGTGGCCCAAAGAAGGACAGACCCTCAATACCGTCCCTACCCTCTCAAAGGTCATACCACCCACCTTGTGTAACCCTCGCAAGGAAGGACTCCAACCCTAAAGGAGATATCCACTCCAACACCTCTGACCTCGATCTCACAACATCACAGTTGAGACTCCCTTGCAAGACTAACTACTTGAGTAAAAACTGGTTAGCATCGAATTTAGAAAATCCATCGAGATAGAGGTAAGATGGGAATGAGAGAAATTGCTCAAACAGTAAACCTGGAATCAAAAGAAGTTTGAATTATGAATTAAGCCTCAAATTCAAGAAATTCACGAAATCAATCACAATGAAGATAATATTGAAAATACGATTTGATAAGATTTGAGAATCCAAATAGGGAACAGAATAGGGAATCAATTTTGATCTCCGAACGACTTACGACTCTGATTTCCAGAGCCCAAGGTTCAAGAAATCGCTCAGACAGTAAACCCGGAATACTAAGTAGAAAAAAAAATTGACAATCAATTGAGTCGGGAAATACTAAGCAAAAAAAATGAATCGACAATCAATTGTGTACGAGTGAAACCATAAAACAGATCACGAAATCAACAAGAAAAATTACGAACTACTGATTGAGATCAACTAAAAAATCAGAATTCCATCCAAAAAATTACCTTCTAAGAAGTTCCCGTATCAAGAAAAAAAACAACAACAAAATTAGGGCATGCCTCAAGAATTACTGGAGATCATGTCGCTGCGTGAAGTCGCCTTGAAACGCCTGAAGTCTTAATTCGTGCAGTCCATCACGTAGCGCTCCACTCTCGCTATCCCCTGATCCAGTTGCCCCGCTGCTGTAGAGTCCAAACTCAACCCCTGCCTCTTCCTGCAGGAGCAGCACGTTCGCCTCCCCATAGCCCGTGCTAATATAGCCCCTTGGCCAGCCACACTGACCAGAAGAGATTTGGTAGGACACAATCACATCCCTATCACTGCCATACGTGATTGCATTGTGAGTAACCACGCCAAGCCTGTTGACGCCACCTCACAAAAAGTCCAGTCCCTACCCAACGAACCAGAGGCCACTAAATCAAGAAGGATAGACGGAGTAGAAAAGCTAGTATAGGAAATCCCCCACCATCAAGCCCCCGCTCGCCCCACCCACCTTCTCCTCGACACGATTCCACACCGCCACAACCGACGACCTGCCACCGCTCGTCCCCCATTGCACGCCGTAGCCGTTTTACACCCATCGTGCTACTTCGCACCGGTCGTCCACGATTCGCGCCGCGCCGCGCTCGCCTCGCCACGCCGTGGTGCACCGTGCTCCTGTGAATCCTGCACCGGACCTGGACGGGGCGCAACACTCCCAGCCGCGCTGCAGCCCCCTAGTCGCAAAATCTGATGATGTTTTGCAGTCACACTTTCCCCCCACCCCCAGCAAAATCACAAACAGTGTAGTCTTTGTCAGCGGCCTGGTGGGCCGCGGGGTTCAGCAAATTGCGAGGAAATCGCATTTGACTTTCGTCAAAAAAAAAAAAAAAAAAAAAAACCCTCCACCGGCCAGAAAACGCAACTTCGTGCCTACTACAGTCCAAATTGCTATGTTCGGTTGCCAACGGGACAGTCATACAACGCCTGTGTCATTTTTGGCTTCGCGCACAACAAAATGCCTAATGGGTTTGTCCGTAGTGGAGGAGTCCCTTCCGCCCCCAGGTGAGTTTCGTACCCACTTGCGCTGCCCTTCCACCCTTCTCCGCAGTTTCTCCCCCCGTTTCCACATGCATTAGTCTTGCCCTCCGCAAGATTAGTCAGGCCCTCCGCAAGAATAGACGCAGATTCCGCTGCCCTCTGCGCAGTTTCAGGGCTTGAATGAGCACATATATGCGGGCAGGTGCAAAGAACCGTGCTGCCAGCTCTTTTTCTACCAGGGCTTGAACGAGCAGATGTATGCGGGCAGGTGCAAAGAACCATGCTGCCAACTCTTTTTCTGTCTCTCAGCACATGGTAACGTGGATTCGAGTGCTTGGCCGATCGAAGCGGTACCACAGTGGCTGCTGCCAGGCGAACCCTTTGAAGCATACTTGCAAGCGGACGCTGTCCGCGCGGTTCCGAAAGTGCGGCGGACTGTCGGACCCGACTCCTGCGGCGCACGAATGCGCGCCCGACGACCACCTCCAAAAAAAAAAAAAAAAACAGGGGTCGGAACAAAAGTTTTGAGGCCCCTTACGAAAAATGCGACCGGTGCCGCCAATTTTTTTTTCAGCTTGCGCTCAAGCCCGGACCTCCTTGGGGTTTTGAAATTTGAAACCCTATTTCAGGGCACACTTGGTTTCGCGCCGTCCTGCCCGTCGCCATTCGCCAGCCATCTGCTGTTCGCGCCGTCCTGCCCATCACCGTTCGCCACCCTACTGCGTCGCCGTTCTGCCCGTCGCCATCTTGCCTATCATTGCTGCCGTTGAGGAGGAGGAGCAGCCCATCCCGCCTGTCGCCATACTGCTGTCCCCGACGGTGAGTGTCACCAGCCCATCGTCCTCCTCCCCCTCATTCTCCTCCGCTGCTCCTCCTCCTCCTCCACCTCCCCCTCGTCTCCCCCCTCTTCTGGTTCTCCTCGTCTCCCCCCTCTTCTGCCTCTCCTCGTCTTCGTCCTCCTCCACACTTCCTCCTGCCGTCATCCTGCCCATCCGCTTCTCCTCCTCTTATCCCTCGTCGTACTCCTCTCCATCCTCGCCGTCCTCCTCACTTTTGTTCTCCTTCCCCCCCCCACCTCGTCGTCCTCCTCTCCAGCCCGTCGTCTTCCTCCTTCCACTCGTTCTCCTCACTTTTGTGTCCATCCCCCATCATGGTAAGGTACGGGTGCATTGCAAAGATGGAGTCCAGCTGATGGCTGGGATGTTTCGCAATATGTTTTTGTCATCGTCCTTCTTGGAGACACACCTTCTTGGAGACTCTCTCTCTCTCTCTCTCTCTCTTTGTGAGAGTGTGTGTGTGTGTGTGTGTGTGTGTGTGTGTGTGTGTGTGTGTGTGTGTGTGTGTG